ACTCTGTCTCAAAAAAAAAAAAAAAAAAAAAAAAAAAAACATACACACACCCTCCCCCCATACCTCCATTTCTTCAGACTCTGCCTTATTTTCTGCTGGTGTCTGCTGCTGTTGCTCTTCAACATGTGGTTCCTCCTGGTCCACTTGCATCTTCTGAAAAACAGAGAAAATTAAATCCTGCAATTAGGAAAGCCTACGCAACCTTCATTACACACTGACAAAGTCACATGGTACGAAATTCCTGCTGAATTACAAGCAATCAGAAGGCCTATGCTTAAATTCCAGGTAGGCCACATTACCTAGAATACAGAAGTTTTCCTCTATGGATCTCAGTTAATACATCTGTAAAATGAGGGTAACACTTGCCCTCCCTACCCTTACATAAACAAAAATGACTGTGGAATTGCTTTGTGTACCATTAAGTACTCATAGTTCACAATGTGGCATCACTTAATCATCAGAATACAACCTGAAGAGAGCATGAGCTTCTCCAAGGTTCCTCACAGGTATTTTCTCACAAAGGTTCCCACTTTTTCAAACAGTTCCTAAGTCAGCCTCTCTTTATCCTCAAAAGCATGACCACTCCATGTGCTCTGGGAGGTGAACATGTTAAAATTACAAAGCCTAAGAATAATGAAGAAAGAAGAGGTTTGTGGAGAGCCTAAACCAGTGGTTCTCAATGCCTGCAACATATTAGAATGACCTGAGAAGCTTTTAAAACTACTGCTACCTGGGCCTCACCAGATCAACTCCAATAAAATCTGTGGGGATGAAACCCAAGCATTTGTTTTTTTTTTTTTTTTATTTCCTTGAGACAAGAGTCACACTGTGTCACCCAGGCTAGAGTGCAGTGGCACAAACAGGACTCACTGCAGCCTCAACCTCCTGGGCTTAAGCAATCCTCCTGCCTCAGCCCCCAATATAGGTGGGACCACAGGTACATGCCACCACATCCAGCTAATTTTTTACTTTTTGTAGAGATGGACGTCTCACTTTGTTGCCCAGACCGGCCTCAAACTTCTGGGCTCAAGCAATCTTCCCACCTCAGCCTCCCAAAATGCTGGGATCACAGGTAATTTGTAGTTTTATAAAGCTTTGATTCTGATGCACAAAGACAAGACCCAGTGCATAATTCCAACAAAATGAGTGTACAATCTATTCTACTTTTGAAAATAATTAACTGAGATGCAGAGCATTCTTCAATAACCAGAATCAAGAATAAGTTGAGAAGTCATGAAAGGAGAAATCAACTGTGTTCCATTTCTATACAAATTCTGCATAAAAATCTGTTGCTGGTTCACTTATATTGGGAGAAGAGGAAACATACAAATCCACTCTCACTCTGTCCCAAAGCTCCTCCCTTGACAAAAAGTCTACTTGCCATTATTTCTAGACGAGCCACCTCTGGACCATCACAAAGAGTATACAATGTCTACATTACCTCTTCCTCCTTTGCATTCTGATCTGTTTCCATTGGCTCCTCATTTTCTTCAGACTTGTGTACCTCCACTAAGGATGCACTGGACACACTGAAAATGCCATGGACATTGACTCGAACTTTAACTTTCACTTTTGAACTGGAGCCATCAGACTGAGGAGTGACTTTCTGAACTGAAAACTGAGCTAGGGACATACAAGAGAAAAAAGAACACATAACCAAAGAGGATGAATTCAAGCAGGAATATATGCCTACACTGCTAGATTATGTCTACTTTTCAATGATGGGTCAGTAACATGATGCTTTAAATAAGCAATATGGGTCATCCTAAAATCTTATTAAAATCAGATTTCTCTTTCCTCTTTCACATATAGTCTAACTCTTAATTATCTTGCGCCAATTAAGAACTCAAATATCTCCCAATTCTTTCATTTATTGATATTTATCTTTATACACTACTTTCAGATAAATTCCTAAAACAGATTTGTCACATTCTCCTCTACTGAAAACAAAACAAAAAATAATACATTTTCTTGATTTCCAGGACTCTGACAAGTACGAGTTATCAGTTATTCCTAGTTTTACAGATGGGGAAAACAGAACAGGTTAACTTTCCACAGCTTCTAAATGACATTCAGGATACTCCTAATACTTTACCCACATATTGTAGGTCTTTATAGTATGACTAGTTTCTCTCTCTTCTCAACTAGTATTATTTCCAGATAAGAGTTTCCCAGAGTCTATAAAAACTCTAGATAACATGGTTCTAAAACTTAGGATGTTTTGAAACTGTATCACTGAACTTGTTCTTTTTACTATGCCAGCTCTCTGAGTAGATAAGTTTGTTTTGTTTGGTTTTTTAAATGGAGACAGGGTCTCACTGTATTGCCTAGGCTGGTCTCAAACTCCTAGGTTCAAGTGAACCTCCCACATCAGCCTTCCAAAGTGTTGGGATTACAGGTGTGACCCACTGTGCCTGGTTTGTTTTTGTTGTTGTTGTTGTTTTGCTTTTTTATTTTTTAATTTCCAATTCTTTACTTACCTATAGCAGGATCTGGATAGGGCAAATCTTGAGGAGAGCTGTAATAGGCCTCAAGAGTGAATGGTTCCTTTCTATAAAATGTAAGGACTTTAGAGAAAGGAGCAGCATGATTTTTGGAAAAGACTTCACAGTCACTGAATGGAGGAAAAAGACAAACACACAAATTCAGGATATTCCTAATACTTTACCCATATATCCTAGGTTTGTAATTACTGTATAGTGATAGTTTCTCTCTCGAGAATTCTCAGTTGGCATTATTTCCAGATTATAAGAGTTCCCAAGAATCTTTATATACAAAATCAGTAAAAAAGGAATATACATCAATCAGCACATAAAAGGCACCAATGGTTTCAGCCTAACAGTGAATTAACTTTAAGTATATAAATGAGTAATAAACATGATACCTTGACCCTTCTTCAGCTGGAGAATTCCATCTCAGGGATATTGGATATGGTACTACATCTGTGATAGAAAATTCTCTGACTTTGAAAGCAGGCGATAAGATGGCGCACTAAAATAATAATTTTCAAAAATTCCATTTAACAAATACAGACATTATAAACTGGTATCACTAAACCTACAAATGACTTCAGAAAATCAATGGTCTTTTTAAAATATTTACATTAATTAACAGTGTCTGAACAGTTTTACAAACTTCTATCATGTCAATTACCTAAATAATCTAGCTATTCCTTCTTTTTCCATTAACCCCAACCCTTATTTAATTGATGTACACTATTTCATATAGATGTAGGCAAAAGCCCAAACTCTAGTCATACTTCAGGCTCAGACTTACCTATGTTTCTAGTGAATTAATTCATCTTATGTGCTACAGAGGGAAATTACTTTTAGGAACATCACCTCTACATATTTTAAAACAAAGGTTTTGGAATCTCAACACCTTGAGATCACGCTTAGCTAACCACAGGTTATTAGACACATAAACCACTGCCATCTTGTTATAATTATTTATAAATGGTTACCTATAAAAGAAAGAAAATTCACCTGCAATGCACAACCTCGAGTGACAGCTTCATCAGCATTTAATGTTGTACTAAGTTCTTTACCAAAAAATTTGCTGATCTTCTCTTTTACTGCAGGGATTCGTGTAGCACCACCAACTATCTCCACTGCATAAATATCTTCTTTCTTTAACTCTAAAGAATTAACGGAGTTTTTTTAATGAAATAAAAGAACAATAACATCTTATGATGATGAAATTACTCAGATGTGTAACAAAACTCTACTCCCTCACCCGCCTCCACAATGCACATACACTCATGCCCACACTCACAGAGGCATGTGGCATCTGGAAACAAGTAGGCGCTTTGATTTTCAAAACAATGGGGGAAGTGTAGCATAACAGTGGGATTTAGGAGGTGAGGGCCAGGAAGACTCAATGTCCTGCAGTGTACAGGTCCTTAATCTCTCATACAATCTCACACAAAGAAGTATTAAAACATTAACAGACCAAACATTCAAGTATGCTAGCCATTATGAAAATAAGAGGGCCTCAAAACACTGAGTTATTCTGACCTGGCGTTAAAGGAAAAAAAAAAAGGGGGTACTGAGAATCATATCCAGCCACTCCAGTGTTCTAATCCAGGGCATAAATATACTCCACAATAATTAAAACACAGGTGGAGGCCAGGCACAGGGGATCACACCTGTAATCCCAGTACTTTGGTAGGCTGGGGTGGGTGGATCATCTGAGGTCAGGAGTTAGAAACTAGCCTGGCCAACATGGTAAAATCCTGTCTCTACTAAAAATACAAAAATTAGCCAGACATGGTGGCACATGCCTGTAATCCCAGCTACTCAGGAGGCTGGGACAGGAGAATCACTTGAACCCAAGAGGCAGAGGTTACAGTGAGCCGAGATCATGCCACTGTACTCCAGCCTGGGTTGGACAGAGCAAGACGCCATCTCAAAAAATAAAATTAAAACAAAATATAAAATAAAACACAGGTAAAGTTTCTTGAGGTCAGAAAGAAAGAACGTGTGTATCAAAGATCTGCTGTTGCTCATAAAATACTTCTTAATGCCACCTGATTTTCTGCTCACATTTTACAGTATCTAACAACCATTGATAATTTCTTGAGAAGGGCTATTTAAAGAAATGGGCTTTTCCAGTGTGGAAATAAGCCCATTTGCCATCATCACTAATTAAAGAGGAAAGCCTGTCCCAAGCTGACAGTGTATCTCAAAAATCTGAAACAGCAATCAACACAACAGTGAAGTCCAGGTAAACGCACTGTCAAAAGTTTTTAGGAAAATTAGTATATATTCCTGAATCAAACAGCCCTTTTAGCCTGAGACAAAATAAAAACATCTTGTTAAATAAGTATGTGGTTATCATACCTTCCCTTTGCTGCAGCTCTCATCCAGCTAAGGAAGAATTCACTGACAGAAAGGCTTACAAGACTACAGTACCAGCATAGCTAAAGACAATTTTTATTACCATGAAATAACTGTAAGGCTTACAACTTTCCGTCTGAATTCAGTTTATTGGTGAAACTTTTATTAGATTTCCCTAGACATTTCAAAAGATTACTTTGGGCAGGGGGAAGATGCAGATAAAAAGAAGCTTAATATAACACCACTGAATTACTTACTACAACAAAAATTTGTATCACTGTTTGCAAAAATAAGAAAATAAATAACAATTTCCAAAGAGTCTGAGGTACGAAAATACTTACTGGCTTGTTCCAAAACACTACGAAGTGGTGGCTCCACTCTAGCTAAGAGATCGCTGCACATCTCCAGAAATTTGCCTCTATTAAAAAAAAAAAAAAAAAAAAAAAAGCACATTAAACCACATTCCACTATTATGTGGACTGCATGGCTGCAATAAAAAAACAGGTAACAACAAGTGCTGGCAAGATGTGGAGACACTGGATCCCTCATACATTCCTAGGTAACAGAAAATTAAAATGGTGCAGCCACTTAAAGTGTTTGGCAGTTCTTCAAGATGCTAAACAGAGTTAGCATATGATTCAACAATTCCAATCTAGGTATATAGCCAAAAGAACAGAAAATACATGTTTACACACAAAACTGGTATATCAATGTTCACAAGCAGCCACTTTGCTCCTAATAGCCAAAAATCAGAAACAACCCAGATGCCTATCAACTGTATGCAGCAATAAAAATAAATGAATATAATAAGAGAAACTGATGCATATTACAACACATGAAAACATTATGTTGGGTTAAAGAAGCCAGCCAAAGAAGAAGACATATTTATGTGAAATATGGCTACCAATGACTAAATGGAGGCAGAAGAGATAGGGAGGACAGCTAATGAGTACAGGGTGTTCTCTCTCTCTCTCTCTCTCTCTCTCTCTCTCTCGGCACGGTGTCGCTCTATTGCCCAGACTGGAATGCAATGGCACAATCTCAGCTCACTCTCACTGCAACCTCAGTGAGCTCCCAGGCTCAGGTGATTTTCCCACCTTAGCCTCCTAAGTACCTGGGTCTACAGGCATGCACAACCATGTCTCTTTCTTTATATTAATATACATTTTCAGATATTTTAGGTTTACAGAGAAAGGTTTAGTTTTTTTGATAATAAGAATCCCCATATATCCCCTCCTCACCCCCAGCCCAGTTTCTCTATTAACATCTTACATGAGTATGGTACATTTGTTACAATTAATTTGTTACATTAGTATGGTACATTTGTCAGTGCTGATAGATATGATAGTTTCTATTAGTGTTCTGAGTTTTGACAATGTGTAAGTATTCACCACTTCAGTAACATATAGAATAGTCTCACTGCCCTAAAACTTCCCCCTGTGCTCCAACTATTCATCCCTCCATGCTCCAAACTCCGGGTAACTGACTGTTATATATTGTCTGCATAGTTTTTGTTGTCGTCGTTGTTGTGAGACATGTACCAGAGGGAGTTTTCTGGGGCTGCTTGCCCCTAACAAGACAGAGTTTCCCTCTTGTTGCCAAGGCTGGAGTGCAATGGCACAATCCCAGCTCACTGCAACCTCCACTTTCCAGGTTCAAGTGATTCTCCTGCCTCAGCCTCCCAAGTAGCTGGGATTACAGGTGTGCACCACCACACCTGGCTAATTTTGTATTTTTTTTAGTAGAGATAGGGTTTCATCATGTTGGTCAGGCTGGTCTAGAACTCCTGACCTCAACTAATCCACCTGCCTCGGCCTCCCAAAGTGCTGGGATTACAGGTGTGCACCATCATGCCCAGCTGTCTGCAGTTTTGCCTTTTCCAAAATGTCATAAAGTTGGAATCCTATAGTATGCAGATTTTTCAAATTGGCTTCACTTGGCAATATGCATTTAACGCTCCTCCTTGTCTTCACAGCCTGATTGCTCATTTAGTGTTCAAGAAGTAGTGAAGATGTTCTAAAATTTAGTTGTGATGATGGCTGCCAAGCTCTACAAATATACTTTAAAAAAAAAGTTTTAGGAGGAAGATCCAAGATGGCCGTTTAAGAACAGCTCAGGATTGCTGCTCCCAGTGAAAGCGCAGACGGTGAGTGGACGCCGCATTTTTATTGCCCATAGACTAGGAAATTCCCAGGCTGAGGAGCTCCACGGTCGCTAGCGCGGCTGTTTCAGCCAGTGCCGCTGCTTTGCCCGGCGCGGCTGCTTTGTCGGCGCCCC